AATGACGGTAGGGTTGGACTCAGTGATGCTGGAGGTCTCTCCAACCTGGTTGCTTCTATGGTCCTTATGGCCCTCCCCTGGACTCACATCAGCAGATGTAAGTCCCCAGAGCTAGACACAGCACTCCAGGTCAGGTCTCACAAGAGCAGAGCAGAGGGGCAGAATCACCTCCCTTGACCTGCTGGCCACACTGCCTTAATGCAGCACAAGATACAGCTGGCTTAGCCTGCTCACATAGTGCTATTTGTTTTTACAACAGCTGCACAATTGTAAGTGCTAAAATAGATGACACCTGGTATACAAGAATATATGACTTTGTGTTATTTGCTGCTCATTGAACAACAACCTGAAATTCAGGCACTGGAATAGGCTGCCCAGGGAGGTGGTGCAGTCACCATCCCTAGAAGTGAATGGAGACATATGGATCTGGTGCTGGAAGATACAGTTTAGGGGTTACAGTGAAGTGACAGGTTAACGGTTGGATTCGATGATATCAGAGGTCTCATACAATCGTGACGATCCTACGATTCCAGCCTAAAAAGGCACCATGTGGAATTTCTGAAAAATGGCTTTTCCAAGTTTAATGTTTCTTGGGATTCAGTGGGGACAGCGCTCTCTGCTGGCTGTCCACACAGGCAGGCTGAAGGTGCACAGATGTTAACCCTCTCAGCTCAACTGAATAACACATCCATGACATGTTCTAGTTAACTAGATCACTATTCAAATTATAACAAAACACTCTAGCAGGCCTGGAGAAAATATTTAGCAAGAAACCCCCCAACATATTAAAATTCTATTTAAACATAACCTTCTTGTCTTCAGCTATGTTTGACTATTAAGGTAGAAAGAATCTTAACATCAAATATATTAACTTGTTCATAACGTTGGCTGAGCCACACAAAATTACGAGTTCTACTTAAGTACAGTTATTTCCCAGGCATCAATTCACATTTCTGAATGCCCTGAGCAAGTAAACTATGTTGGTTTATAAAGCTTTCAAGAAAGGATTTGTACAAAGCTGAACAGGACTGTCTAGAGTCACAGCATCATGATTCGAAAAAGTGGAATATGCAAAGCAATACCCAAGATGTTAGAAAATACTGAAAGAGTTTTAGTGTTGAAGGATGAGTCCAGTCACATACAAGATGAGTCTTCCAAACCTTCCATGGCATAAACGGAGGTCAAACAAAAGAGAAACCAATGGAGACAAGTACTGAAAAGCCTTACCCCACATGACCTCTCCCATGCATCTCCTTTGACAAGTTTTCCTCTTTCCCGCAGAGTGGCATATTCCAGGCCTCTTGGTTTACTGGCATTATAGATGAATATGGAGAGAAGCACTACAGGAGCTTCCAAAAAGAACTCTGGAGAAGGCCTGAAGTCAAAGATGATGAAAGACACGGCAGTGATGATGACGGTGGTGATCTGAGCAGTCATAACATGGAACATGTTGTCTCGGAATTTCAAGATGAAGGCTACAGACAGCCCCAGGAAAGCTGTGACAAATATGAGAGCCACAGAGAAGATATTGTGCCCATAAAAGAAGCCACAGTTCTCTATCTGCCTCCGGCCCTTAGTCTGCAGCCCCAGCATAAGCCCATTGAACAGCACCCCAAAGGCATAGAGTTTGCTGTTCTGTGTGAAGATGCTTTCACTAAGTTGATCCACGTCTTTCAGGATCTTCTCATTGTAGATATTAGCCATGGCAGAAACAAAACACTGCACTAGAATAAGCAGATGGCCCAGGCTGAGAGGTTTCAGTGCTCCTGCCACGGTATTGGTGACATTCCACTGGAAGCTGTGAAGGAAACTTGGCACTGCACAGTTGCTCTTTTCCACGCATGCTTCCTCATGTCCAGCATAGACAAGGCAGTGGTTAGACGGACCAAAAAACATACTGTGATGAAATCCATGTGCAGCCAAACTTTGCTGATGGCCTCCAGTTCCTAGGGTCAGGGCAACGATGGACAGAAATAAAATCACCAGAGATGCCCATTGTACCCAAGAGAGTCTTCGCCTAGTAGACAAAAAAAGCCACCAAAATTAGAAACACAGCGACATGAGTTAAATGACAGAAGAACCAGATCTATAAACCACATAAAAGACATCATGCCACAGATAAAGAGACAGACAGGTGCAAAGAAAAATCTTTTCATAAGCTTTTCAGAATTAACAGTAAAATGTCAAACACGCTTTTCTACAGCAAATGGGGCCCAGCCTGGCAATCAAAGAAGTATAGAATAGGAGTATTCTGGAGAGATAATTTAAGGAAAGTCTTTCAAGTTTACATTATTTCTAGATACTGACTGCCTAACCACTGAAAGCAACTTTTGTCTCCATGGGAACACAGGTCTGATGAATAAAAAGAAACACAGACATTCAAATAATTACCCTCTTTCTTCAATAAGCTTTCACTACACTGCACTTTCCCCCCATGATTTTGTGCCATTTTCTAGTATTTTATGATGGCAACTCATAAATCTATGAACATAATTTATAAGACTGTTAGAAATATCAATAATATTTTTTCTCTCAAACAGAGCCTGTTTATCTTGATGAAAATCAGAATTTTGGAAGATTAAGTGAACTGTGACATCACAAGAGACACAACACTAAACTGAGAAAAAGCATATCAAGTCAGACAATCACACACTGTTTTGGTATATTAACACAGGTAGGAAAGGCATCTTTGTGCCACATTCAACACAAGCAACTCTTTAAGTTAGTAACTTTCAGTCTTCTCTGAATCTAAGTCACATCATAAAGAGCACAAATCAGACAAAGTGGAACACATAGGACATACAAATGGCTTTTGTCATACAAATAATGAAGAAAGGACATACAAATACTTTTCCAAACATACTATGCAGTTGACCAGGAACACATCAGGGCTGGCACAATATCAACAAAGAGACCTCAGTCTTTCACTCTTACCAATCTCATTCCCTCTTGCTGGATCACATTTACATTCAATTAAGAATTGCAACAGACTGGAAAGAAATACTGGTAATCATGAAATAAGAGATTTAATGTATAAACAAAGGTACCCACTTAATTCTGACCATTCCATGACTACATAATCCATGATTTCAGTTGTTTTCTAGTACAGTTGACCAAATGTGTAGAGATATAGAGATAGGAAGGGAGTCCTAATAAGCTATTATTTCCTACACCTTGAGATGTAGAAAACAAAACCATCTCTCCAAGCTGGTATAGCCACAAGAAAAGAGAATTACTGTTCCCATCAGGCAAAGAGAAAGAATGTAGCTTAACTTTATTATCAAGGCTAGGAAGATATAAAATTTCATTTACTTTAGTAAATACTACTTACTTTAGCACTATCCTGAAGAGAAGAGCTGTTGTTATAATGACAAAATTTGAGAAGAGCACAGCCATTGCCTTGAAAGAGAAAAAGGGGAACAAAGTCATACTCCAGACACAGTGTGGACACCAAAAACCTACTGACTTCAAGTGTTCACCTTCCTGCAAGGTGCCAGAATGAAAAGCACTAGTACTGAATTTTCTTCTTCACCCAAGTGGTAGAATAACACACCTGTAAAATGACATGCAAGTCCCATTTCAAAATCTTAAGCAAACCACAGAGCCCAAGTTTCACTATAGTGAGGAAGGCTGTACTAAAACAAAGACATGAGGAAACCAATGCAACAGAAAACTTAACAGAGAATGGTTTAGTTTTCTGCCCAAACAGTTCCCCAGCCAGGCTGACCAGTCAGCTGTACAAACAGCTGCACTGGCACAAAGGGGGAAGTTGCTCTAAAATGCAAATAAGCAAAGAATAGGGGAGGGCAATGCTGCTTCTGGCTGCAGTACCATTTGCAGTGGTCATGAAACCCCAGACTCAGATAAGGCACTTGCAGAAAATAAACTACTTCTATGTCAAGTGCATTTGCTGCATAATTTATCAAAGGTAAGGACGTGCTTGGCTTGAATTTTCAAGATGGCAACTGTAATAAGAGATCACCTATTTCAAAGTACAACTGAAGACAACTCTAAATCTTCTAATTTGGGGATAACTGTATAACAATGACACTGCCCAAATCCATAGCCATGATCCCAAGCTGCAAACATCTTGTGCAAGGATTGTCTATTTTGTCTCTGTATTAGACACTCTATACTGGCACACCAGACCAAGACACAGCTCTTCTGGGCACTGCAGTTACCATTAAAGATCAGCACCAGGGGGAAAAAAGGGTTCTTTTGGCAGGGGGAGAGTTGTTTTGCAAATTGTGTGTTATCCAGGACTGCCCTGGGTAGTCAGTACAAGAGATCCAGGCATCTGATGTCTTTCCTCCAATTCAGCCTTAGAGTAACCTCACTTTTTTAGAAAACTTTACACAAGAGTATGTTTGGATTCAGGTATACAAACCACAGACTTTATCTTCAATCTTCTCATCTGCATTTCCACGTTCCCAGTTCTGCAATAGCAGAGCCTTTTTCATTTATCATAGGAAAAGCACAGACCCTTTTCCCGTTATCTTCATTCCACTCTATTCCAACATACTATCTGCTGAATAATAATTATCATGAAACATCACAAAACAGGGTCTCAAGTAAGCTGAAGACTGACACATGAGACATCTGCCTAAAAAATCACATCTTACTTTTTCACTTTGCAACATTAAAACTCAATAAATATTCATGTTAGGTGAATGCTGTGGAAGGAGAAAAATATTGAATAAACAAGTAAATCTGGCACAAACCATTCTGGAAAAAAAAAGAGGCTTGATGCAAAATGTACAAGTGTTTCATGTGTACTCTGGTTTTGCTTTACAGTCAAAGCCCCACATCCAACATAACATACATAACATGACCAAAATCTTTAGAAGGATAGTTAAAAAACATTAATTTTGTTCTCTGAGGCCTCAGAGGACCTCTGTCCTAGATGGAAAGGAGTATCAAAGATCCCCATGCTAATTATTAGCATGTCACTAACAAAGTCTCAAAAAGTTTAAGCCTTATCACTAGGAAATGTTAGTCGCTAAAAAGTATGCACAGTTATAGCTGAAGCTTCAAGCAAAAAAATCTCACCAAAGCAACTCTATACTTCAAGCAACTGCTCACTAGGTACTAGTCCCAAACCTACTTAATTTTTAAAGCCACACAAAATAAAGTTCAGTCAGGTATGGCCAACTTTCTTCAAGAATCTCACCTCCACCTTTTCACATTCATGATCTTGTACACCGCCAAGGTATTCTGTCTTACAGGTACTTAGTTATCTGTTTTAATACTTGTTTACAATAATGTTACAATTTCTGCTAACAATTATAAAACATGTAGTTAAAAGGTGTAAGATGCTAAAAGTTCAAAAAAGAGGAACCTTAGAGCACATGTTCTCAGGGCAGATAGACAAGGTATGTCTAGGGGTACGTATATGTAAAACAAAAGCTGTGCTTATTAGAAAGATTACCTTACCTTAGGCCAAAACAAATTGCTCAAGGAAGCAATAGCATCAGACTTTGCTTTTACAAACATTATAGCTGAATTTCCTTCCTAAAACTAAAAAAACCCTAAAACTAAAAGAAAACAAATCCAAAAAAACCCCCAAACTAAACTAAAAAAAAACCCAAAACAAACCCAAACCCAACTACCACAAAAAACCTACCAAAAAAACAAGAAATCCCCCACCAAAATCCCACACACAACAGACCACAGAACCAAGCACCTGTGCATGTTATTTTAAGGTACCTGGCTCTTGATCTTAATTATATTTTTTTCAGCTGGGTCCTATTCTAGACTCTGGACTGGTGTCTCCCTGACAGAAACATACTCCTAAAAGAACAGTATTTTACAGAGAAATTCTGAAGGAGAAGGCAAAAGCCTATTTATTTCTGATGTCCAGCACAGCCAGCTACAATATTTTATAGCAAGCAGAAACCTTCTTACTTCAAATGTAGATTCTGAACCAAAAAGTATTGTAGCATAAAAATAAAAGAAATCACAAAAACTGTATAATTTCCTGAGGAGGTGCAGATTCATGCAAAAGGATGAATGTAGCTAGAAGAAAGCATCAATTAAATTTTGTGCTTAAATGCAATTAACATACAAGTGCAAAAATTAAGTCAGTTTTCTTCCTCCCCTCCTCAGTTCCTGTTACACTTATTCCCTTTGTGAGATTACATTTACTCACTGTATGTCATATACATAAAGTGGTAAAGGCTACACAAAAAAGTGCAGCTCAAATAATAGCAAGATGAGCAAACCAACTGAAAGAGAAATACAGAGTTGAAGAAACCAAAGGAGGGAAAGCACCAAAAACCTGCCGAGTACTTAAGCAATTTGGTCTATTTCTAAATCACTTCGGGTGCAGAAAATACAAAGACTCTTCTCTGCTGAAATCTGTACAACACTGACCACAGGGCAAGAGAATGGGAAGGTCGGGGTGGGTCAGGTAACAGATTACTCTTTCACCTGCAAATCTTGCCTTGCCAGTGTTACCACTGTAGATAGCCTAAGAGCAGCATTACCTACCACTAAGACATTGGAAAACACTTTATTCAGTATATGCATACTTACTGGCTGGAGGTAGGACAGTACATAGAAGACAATCAAGTTATCCAAGAAGTAAAGAAAGGCAGGAATTGACCATTTCATGGAATTACATAAATTCCTCCAGGAAAGACATTCAAAGGGATGATCCATACAACCCTCTGAAAAGAAAAGAAAATAAGTAAGAAGGACATTTTTCTTCTTATCGAAAGCCCATTCCCTTGTAACAGAACAGGTACCACTGTCATCCTCTCAGGAACACTGTTGGACTGAAAAAAATAAGGTACCACAGCTCTCTGGTAACACAGAGGAGAGTTCCAGGGCAGAAGACACAGCTAGAGCAGCAATCCAGTGTCTGTGGGCATTCACCTCCTTGCTTCAGCAGAAAAAATGTCACTTATTTGTCCACTGGGAACAAAAATTCAAGTATCAACCATTCTTTGAGAGCCAAAAAGCACCCCTACAGCGTTCAGACAACTGTGACATCGTTAATGGGTGTGATTTTCTGAAAGATTATCACTCAAATCTCGAACTAAAATAATGACACAGACAGTGGATCCCTTCAGAGAGCACCCAAAGGTCAGCCATTAATATCAGAAATACAAGATAAACCAGAACTCAGTATCTGTAGCACACAGCACATGATCTGGGTAAAAAGAGAGCATATGGGAAGAAAGAAAGGACAAAGCACAAAGAATGAGATTTACTTAGGTATTCAGGACACAGACTTTAGGAGGAAGACTGTGATAAACCTTAGACTACTTTAGAGCTGGTGACAGAAGCACTTTGCTAGCACATATTTAAGACTACACAATGTTATGCAATCCACTCCTGAAGCTCCAACACATTTTGTTCAGCAAAACTCTGACATCTGGAAAAAAAAGAAAAAGAAGCAAAACCAAAAACCATATAATCAGCAATAGCCAATGATAGCAAACACTGACTGAATATATTTATTGTCTTAGGTATGTTTACACTAAATGGTGAGAGCAAAAATTTCATTCTCTTGCCAGGGCCATGACTGTTCCATGGAGAATTAGACAAAATCAGCAGTTCAATTTAAAATGAGTCTTCAGTGCCTGACACCCTCTTCCAATTTAAATATCTGTTCTCTACCATTTTGAAGTGCTATGAAGTTAATCTCTCATAGTTTTAACATCAGGACAGAAAAATCAAGAACGAAAAAAGAAAAATTGCCTACAATGCAAAACCAGTGGCTAGTGAAGCCTGACACTGCTTTTTCTGAACAGCAGCCCCAAGGTTTGTCTTCACAACAAAGCTACCTTGAGTTACAACATGGATATGTTGCTTCTCATTCAAATTTCACCACACACAGACACAAAGTCTCTTCATTGGAAGGTGGTGGTACTTTTAAATAGAAGCAACCAGAACAGCAAGACATAATGGCCAATCCTTGAGTTAGTGCAATTTAGAAGCTTCTGTTCAGTCATGACTTCACAGTGAGATGACTCCTCTTATCCTGGCACGATGCCGTGTTACAATTCTGAAAATGTTAGACTGTGCCTTCATTACACTTTCTATTTCAGCTCACCTGTCCCCATTTCTGCTAGCATACACACAACACAAGAACACCTGAATTTGGAGCACAAAGTAGAGTTATAAAAATTAGTTATAATTCTGCATGGAGGACACAATTTCAGTGCACCTTACTAGGAAGACCATGGTACTACATGTGAATCTCCTATTAAAACACAACAACAACCAAAAAAGGCATTTCAAAGACAGCAAATCATAGCAAGTCAACACATTTTAGTTATTTTGAACGTAGGTACTCACCTTTTTTCCTAACCCATAGTGCTAACACCACACACAGGACCAGTTTTACTACTTCAGAACATATGTTCACTGTGGCAGGAAGATAATCATACTTGTTATCTGTGGGATTCAGCAAATCAGAGAGAGTAGACAATCAGTCTCCTGCGTTCATAATTAGAGCAAGAATCTATTTTAACCACTCTAATCAGAATTTTAGTCACTTTCCATAAATGCACAAGACTATCTACATCAGCCTTTTCATTACAAATATTCCAGTTTTTATGATACATAACTTCTTGAATAGCCTCCTTTCTAGGCTGAAATCTTTCCTCGTTTGGTTCCAGTTTACAGAACCTTTTAGAAGAACTCAAGAACATCACTGTTTTAAATCAAATTAAAAATGTTTTCCCCGAAGAGCAATGTGGCATTTTAATCCCTTCACAAAAAGTGGGTTCCAGGATGACATAACTTCCTTCTAGGACTAGCAATATCAGTCACTTTTAGCACACCCACTATGATATGACTTATCTCCTAAGCCTGTTGCAAGAAAAATATTTCAGTTAAGACATGTACCATTGGTAGTGCTTACACAATTCAGTCTTTGAGAAATCAGCTATAAAATAATTGGCTGCCTCATCTTTTAAGGGTATACCATACACCTTGAAACCCAAGTTATCACCTTCTGTTAGACCAGTGACTACACAGAGATTTTCCAGTGCAGAGGTACATGTTGTTATTTATGTAACAGGATGTTTATGAAAAGAGCTCTGCAGGTGGAGAACTAGGCTTCTGGTCTGACCTCAAACATCAACTCTTTCTTATTTAAGGTACCTTCATTGGCAGAATACTTCATCAGGAGGATTCGACTTGAACCCAATGTAATAAACACTCCTCCAAGCAGAAAGGTATAGATGGTTGTCTTGGAGCAGAGCACAAATCGGCTACAGTACTTGGTCTTCATCCTGATGTCTTGCTGTCAATGCCCTTTGAATGACAACATGAAAAAGACACTATAAGTAGCACTTTCAGAAATGGGTTGAACAAGATGAAATAAGCATCTTTTACTGCTCTGTGTTATTTTATACAATGATGTATAAAATACATCATTTTATACAACGATGTATAAAATAATGTCATTGTTACTTTGCCACATCTTATACATTTTAAATTTTATACATCGTTACATTTTATACAACGATGTATAAAATAACATCACAAGCCATGATCTTGTGGTACAATTATTATCTTGTTAATTTAAAAGAGAGGGAAGGATACACTACGAGGACTGGCAGAGGGGGATAAACGATGAATACACAGAGGCTCTGAAGGTGGCACGAAGGGGTCAGTTTGTCAGCAGAGTGCACCTATTGAACACTGATTAGCTCAAAGAGCAATTAAATCACATGGTTATTTTCCTTTGACAGTTTTTAAACTGCTCTTGCTCCTACCCCCAGCGAGAAGCGCTGCAGGAGCGCAGCGAGAGCAGCACCTGAGCGATGACCTGGCGCGCACTCCCGGGAGCGGGGGCGGCACACGGGTGTGTGCTCCGCTCCCGGC